GCTACAGAAATTATGCTTATATTTTTGTATGACATTCAGTATCAGTATCCTTTGCTGAGGGAAGGGCAGTTTTCTAGGAGTATACCAGAATAAGTATATGATAGCTCTGGAAGAGCAGTCAATCTGAAGTATCTTCCGAGTTCTGTTTTGTAATCACAAGACCACCTGGATGCCCTTATCAAAGGCTGACAGGTATCCTTGATTCAACAAGTTTCATATTTTTTATTCTGTCTATATCTTGAAACTAATTTGTTATGTGTGTGAAAATATAAGTGTGAGAGAATCAAGGAATGTAAATATTTAGTATTTAATTTAAGAGGAAACAGCTGCAGGGTCGATTACTTTCAGAGAAATGCCATCAGAAATGACTAAATATTTTTGAAATAAATCATCAAAAGTAATACATTAGTATTCATGTTGTTTCTGAACAAGTAAACCTTAGCCAGCAGTGACTGAAGTAAACAAGTTGCATTACCCAACTAATTTTTGTAACAATATTAAAATTTTGTCATTAAAATCATGTCTCATGTTTATTCCTGGTGACACAACTTAGTCTATTCATGCATCATACATAATTAATTTGAAAATGAAAAATATTTATACATAAATTGTATAAAAAATTTCTTAATAATACTGCAGAACTTTTCATGTTCTATTAGACATAGTAAAATATTAATACTATGCTAGATAGAGTTATAATCATGACTTTATTAAATAAATATGATATCTTATTAGAAATTACTTTCATTTACCCTTCGGGTTGCAGTTTCTTATTTGTCTTTTATAATAAGAGGGCATGACATAACAGATCATCTAAGAACTCTGTGTTGTTGCAGAACTGCCAAATAAAAAGTAATTTAAGGTACCAGCAGTAAAAGAATAAGGATTTATTGCCTTATTCCAACACTGTGATACTTTACAGCAGTATAACATGTAACATTTCCTTTCCACTTAAGAAAATACCGATTAGTATACCCTTAATCCAGAGAAAACAAACTTAAAACTCTGACAGATTTCTAATGTTAATTTTCTTAGTAAAAAATGTTAGAGGGACAATTGTCTTATGCTTCCCATTTAACATTTTTCTTATGTTTTGGAATTTGAGAATTTGTGGTTGACATACTAAAGAAAGAGATAAACAAAAGAATCTGAGACTGACTTAATTAACATTTTTCTATTACAAAGTGATTTCCCATGGTCAGATGGGGTAGAAGAAGGTTGATATCCATTCTCATAGTTTTCTGCATGACAGAAGTCAAGCTACATTTGTAGATAAGTCAAAATGATGACCCACTGAATGTCAATATCAGCCCCATGACAGAACTTCCAGCAAAGATTTCATACAACTTTTCTGTGGTTCAGCTATACTTGCCACTGTCAGTAACCTTTAATTATTCTTTATCTTACAGAACCATGTAAAAGTTCTACTTCAATGCCAAGCCTCCCTCTGCCAACACATAGGAATCAATAACACTTGCCTGACAAAGTAAACTTTCAGAGGAAGGGAAAAGGTAGAAAAAATGAAAAATCAGTGACCCTGAAGTCATATTATTACATCCTGGAATAGTACATTTTGCTGCTACATAAAAAACTATTTTTAATCTTTTAATCCATGAAAAACAATAGCTATTAGAAACACCTATAAATTAATTAAAGACTAGTTAGACTATTAAAGGCTAGTTAGGCTGTCAGAATTCCTTTGAATTACAGTTTATAAGAAGTGTATGTCAGGAATGGTTTGGCATCTGATTTGCCCATAGTGTACCAGAAGGTAAAGCTGATGTTCAGGGTGTGTAACTTTGAGACAAGTAATTTTTAATTTTCTAGTGCAAATGGAAAAATATCTTCTATTAAAATCGATTTTTCAGTCTTGTGCTGTTCAGTGCAGTACTTGTGTCATGAAATGCATTCTTGGTTAAAATATGAAATAGGAAAATCATGTTTCTGAGGAAAGAAATGTCTTACAGTATACTACATTTCTCTTTTCCACATGACTCTGCGTTTATAAACTGAATTTATGAACTTGCATCAATGTAGGCTGAATTCTCTGATATTTACAGTACCCTAAAAATTCCACTTCAGCAATTGAGTCATGAATCTTTCACATTTTGTATAAGTTAGTCATCAGTGTCTCAATTTCTTGATTGATGGTTCAATATTCTATTATATGTTATATTAAGCTTATAAATGCGATCTTAGATCACTGTGTACAGATCATAATATAAGTTCTTCAATTTTGATTACAGCAGGCAGAAAATGCTACATAAATCATTTCAAACCCTGTAAATCAAATTATATTTTCCCTTTTGAACTGTAAACAAAAATCCATCACCATAAAAACCTCAAGTCTTTTAGTTATACTGGTGTAAACTGGACTATGTCCAATAACTATAGACTTTACACATAGCAACATCAGCTTATAAATTTAGCACATCCTAGTTTTTAGAGGAAAGCAAAAAAGTGTATATATTCATACAGAGAAAGTAATACTTGGAGAAAAAAAAATGTGGTTTCTTTGGGGTAGGACAGAGACTGTCTCAAATGTGGGACCTTGACTTGTTTTTTTGTGTTTGGGGTAGGGGTCCACACCGACTATTCTCAAACATCTTCTTGTCATTCTTATCATTGTATGTGGTTTCCAAGAAAATTTGAAGTATTACTTTCCCCAGGACTAAGGTCAGGAAAACTATACATAGTTGCCCAGATTCTTCTTGATTTTCTTGAAGATGGGCATAATTCATTCTTCCCAATCCTGAGGAAACTTTCCTTTTGAACAAGACTCCACAATGGTATCACCCAGCACTTCTAACCACCTTGGGTACAAACCAGTGGATCTCATGGGTTTGTAGGTGTTCAGTTTGTTTATGTGCTCCCAATTTCATTCTTCTGCTGTGAGTTGTGTTTCTCCTATGCCGCACTGACTTGAGGCTGAGGCCTGGGAGCCTGAGGAGAGGTTTATCACTAAAGACAAAGAGGAAGAACCTAGAAAGAACCTGTTCTATTTCTGTAGACTTAGTCATAAAGTTATCTACCTGTAGGAACATATTTTTACAGTGTATCTTTGGCTTGGCAAAGTGATGATAGAGGCTCTTCTTATCAATCACTTCCACTGCCAAATTCAACTAAAGTTAAGCTCTACCTTTCGTTATTCCTTCTCTTCATGCTTGGGTGATGTTTCTATATTCTTGGAAGAGTCATCTTAGTTTGGGTACAGCTTTCATAAGAACTTTCCATTTGTAAAAAACCCCAATATATTTTATAATTACTTTAATAACTCTTCTATTACAAAATGTTGCAAACTGATGATATTATTATTGATTATTCTTGATGCAATGAATCAAACCCAAGGATCTCCTAACTGAGTCATCTAATCTTTGGAGACTTTGCATGTATAATGAGACCTGTGCTTTGTTAATAAAAGATAGATGTGTAAAATCTATCATAAACATTTTGTTCACATGTGTTTCCCTTCATCATGTCACAAAGATTTTACAGTTTCAAGTGGATTTAAGCAACATACATAATTCACAAAATACATGAGCTGAATAGGCAGTATGCAAGTAAGATTTAAAAAATTGGTTACCAATAAAGTTTAAGTGTATAAATAGAGATTGTATGTTTAGAATACCAGTATTTGGCTCGTTTCAGCAAATCTTGCACAGAGCAATGATGACACTCTTGTTTCTACCAGTGGGCCTGATTCTACATTCATTAGTGGCATTTAATACCCTACTTTGTATGTAGCCTCTTGTGAAATTAAATCTGTGTAATTATTCAGTGTAAGTAAAGGTAATGAATTTGAGCCCAGTGGGATAGTCTCAAGAGACAACCTATAATTTGTTGACGTATTGACACTGTTATTGTTTGCTTACTTCCATCTGTTTCTCAGTTCAACAAAAACTCTTTATGAAGCTTTTACATGTTTCACTCTGCTAAATTCATGAAAATCAGATTCAAAACATGGCTGAATCAAACAATAGAAATGACAGCAAATGATAAAAGAAGAATGAAGGCAGTGTTTCCACTACAGGCAGTTGATGGTTAGTAAATATCTACGGTATTTTCAACAATAACCACAGAACTTGTGCTCATGATTTTAGATTCTCTACAGACTCAAAATGGAATCCGTTTTTTGCTGCTACTCATATTTCTGGATGTGCTGGTTTTGCCTGGGGTACAGTTAATTTCCTTCATAGTAGCTAGTATGGGGCCGTGTTTTGTATTTGTGCTGGAAATAGCATTGATAACGCAAGATGTTTTCTTTATCGATGAGCGGTGATTACACAGAATCAAGGCCTTTTCTACTCCTCACAATGCCATGACAGTAAGGAGGCTGAGGGTGCGCAAGCTGTTGGGAGGGGCCACAGCCAGGACAGCTGACCTAAACTGACCAAACATACCATGCAACATCATGCTCTGCATATAAATCCCAGGGAATAAAAAGGAAGAGGAGAACGTTTGGAGTGATGGCATTTGTCTTCCCAGATCACTGTTATGTGTGATGGAGCCCTGCTTTCCTAGGGGTGACTGAACACCTGCCTGACCATGGAAAGTGAATTCTTTGTTTTACTTTGCATGTGTTCATAGCTTTTGCTTTACCTATGTAGTGGTTTGGATTTTGTTTTCCCCCAGAGGCTAAGAAAAGTGGTAGACCCCAAGGGGTGGAAACCCCTGGAAGTTTTGGAGTTCTGTCCGATGGGCGCTCCTGCAAAAATGTAAACATATCACAAGCTCACCGGAAGAGAGGAGTTGTAGTTTGGTTGTTGAGGAGAGGTGGCCATGTTGTGAGCCACGAGGAAGGGGCTCTGAGCCCCTTGGGCCCTCTGGGGCCCCCCAGCCCCTGGCTACAGATAATTTAATGAAGGGTCAGAAAAGATACATTGTTCAACAGGAATAGTTTAAAATTAAGTGGAAGAAATTCACACATTTAAGTCATGAAATACCAAACTGAAGTAAATTAAGCCCAGTCTGTAATTCTCTAAACAGAAGAACACACTCACCTCTGCAGTTTGATACGCAAAGCCAGCAGTCTGTAATTAAATAAACTGCAAGTTCAGAAAAGGAAGACAATGTACATATTCATAATACATAAAGTTAATGTGTATTATCAAGAACTGTAATACATGCTTTATTTCAACTGTTGAAGCCTGCAGGAGGATATCTGAGCTTGAAAAAAAGAGTTGATGGTGGGAAGAATTGCAGTGCAGATTGTCACACTTGTTGCTTTTGTCTCAACCATTTTGATACTAGCCATGATTCTCAATTCCCCATATAGCATATAATCCTTCTGTATAATTGCTTTTCCTTTTGCAGGCTCATAACTTGTTTGGATGTTAGGTGGGAGCAAGGGGGAAGAGATGGTAGAGGAGGAAGGAAACTGGTACTGATGGTATTCTTATCATTATCTGTATGCAACCTTTCCTGTACCATTGAGAGTTCTCTGCAGTTCAGCAAACCTACTCATTAAGATTGCGTCTAAAAACTGTATTGTGAAAACAGACTGAGGTCTGTGTATTGGTAATATAGAAACAGTATATTTAGTAAGACAATAATTATATAACTCACCAAGGTTGGTTGACAAGTGTAATTTAATATAAATTTTTGCATATACTTTATAGTTATATTCTGAACTTTAAAAAACTATTTATTTAATATGGACTGTACCCCTTTTGTTTATAAAAATGCATATAAATTATTCATGAAACATAAATGAAATACCTTTAAATAGTGCTTACTCTGCTTTTGTAATTTTTTGTATCAGTGAATTTTTTTAACTCTATAAACATTATAAGAAATAGCAGAAGAGTATAAGATATGCACTTTATGAGATTTCTACAACACAAAATACCAGGAAGAAAAGCTATACACTTTTGAGTAGAGGTTAGGTTAGGTCCATCATTCATTTACAAGTTCAGAAAGAAGTGAACAAGAAAAGGTCAAACAAATACCTCAGAAAAAAATAATTATTTGCTCTAAAGGGTGCACTGGCTTTTGTAGTTGCAGTTGTTTTAAGAATGTCACTTGTCCTTCTGCAAAAGACGCCTTTGGAGCAAGATAAACCTATTACCACACTACCAGGCCTCTGAAATCTCTTATTCTAGTTGTAAACTCATGCATTTAATCCCTCCCCGGAGGTGTCTTCCCAGCACTTGATTTATCTCCCTCAGCTTTATTTCTGTCAGGAATCACAGCTGGAAGACCTGTTGGCCACAGCAAATTCATCTACCGCTAGCACTACAGTGAGATAGTAGGAGATACTGTGAGGTCCTGGGGAAGAAGGTTTTTTTCCCTGGTGACATTTAAGGCGGTGGGGACACAGTCCTGGGAAGAATTCCAGATAATGTACTTTTGCACAATGTAACAGGTGTGCTAAAACTTTCCATGATGTCACAGCCTTATTCCTGGATAATGTTCATACCTCTTTTCACACTTATTATAAATTGAAAAAATACTTTATAAAGATGCTTTATTGCCACTCTGTCTCCAGCATGTGACTATTTGGAGAAAAAATACTGCAGTTCTCATTTTATAGAATATAATACAACACTTCAAAACTAATTGTCTTCATTATTGCCAAGCAAGCCAAAAAAACATTTTAACTAAGGAAAACAAACTGTTATGCTACCTTCAAAACCCTTTGTTTAGATTTTTTCTTCTCTGTGAGATTTTTTATAATATGTTTTAATACATCTCCAAATTATGACATGTGAGATAATTTAATTTAAAATTCTAAATACTTACTCATAGCTGTGATGCCCAAAAAGGAGTCCAGTATGAAAGAGATGATGTCGTGAGTGCAAAAAAAGGCATTGATGACACAGACAGAAGTATATCTGAAGTATATAAACCAAATTGATTACTAACATGCTGTAATTATGTGAAATTTATGCTTTCTTATCTGCAGTCATCTTTTCAGTAGTCTTTACAGGATATATTTATGTTTCATTTTTTCCCCTGAGTGGAATAAAAACATTAAAGTTTACTTTCACTTATAGTATTCCCTTCTTCTTTTGTTTCTAAAAGTTTGTTTTTGTACCGAAGTAGAGCTTCCAGTAGATAAGCACTGATTTTTTTTTTTTTATTTTCTCTAAGGAATAATAACTGTCCACAAAATTGATTACTTTAAAATATTCTTAATTTCTTATTGTTAAAATATTTTTTCTTTTATTCCTAATTCTTTCCTCATCTGGGAAGGAAAGAGGGTGTTATGAGGTAGATATTCTACTCAGGTTAACTCTCTTCTTGTACTGCTTGTTTGCTTTAAGAAATACCATTCAAGGTGTCATATATCCCTGTTGTTTTTGTCTGCTAGAAATCTCTGTTTGAACAAAATTTCTGAGGCGTATCATAAGAATCCTGCTTGGAAGAGTGAGTCTTGAGGACCTGAACAGAACTGTAAAAGGAAGTAAGTATTACCTAGTGTTCCTAATGAACACTATGATCTGAAATAAATATGTTAATTTTGGATGAGTTAAAATACAGAGATTCTAAATAATATCTCCATGAAAATGGGCTTAATAGAAGCAATACTTTCTGTAAAAGTCTTCTGGGAAACCTCGTACTTTGTTCTAATTATCACATGTAGTTACCTTACTCAGTGATTGCTCTGAAACTATATATTTCAAAATAATAAAAATAAAAGATCTCTGATTGCACAGTGCATCAAAAGCAGTGCTTTAGATAGTATTTAATTTAGTAATATCCAGATATTTCACATAAAGGTAAGAGATATTTTTTTCTTTTTTAATTTGGAAACAAAAAGATTCTGGCATTTTATTGTTCTGAGAAGGAAAGAATGCAAAAATATTAAAGTTTTATATTTGGACTATCATACAAATTTTCAGCATGCTGCAAGAATTGTTGCACTAATTTCTGCAACATTATATTTGTCTTAATTTCCCTCATAATCTCCTGAAAGCATAAGCATGGCTTATTAAGCTCCATCTGCCATTCTTGTCCTTATTATTTCAGAAAGATGGTCTCAGTACACTTTTCTGGATCTTCATGACATTGCACACTGAAATGTCAATTCCTGCCTGAAACCATAAAGAAAACCCAAATCTGTGGGCAGCTTGTGAGACTTGACAATCTCACCATTTCATGTTTATGAAGAAGAGAGGTAATTTGTTGTTTTGGCTTTGTTTTGTTTGTTTGGTTTGTTTTTTTTAATTGAAACAAAAATCCACGTTGTGACTATTCTGTTCACACTCGCTTCATAACTGGGTAGAGCAGTGCTGGATGGGTAGCATGGATCTTTCAACTACTTATTGAGCATTGCAACAAGAAATACAACCAGCTTCACATGTGTGTTGCTTCACATGTGTCAATAGATAAGGGAAATTAATTCAGATGCACATTTTGACAGAGATCTCAGCACAGTAGTATGTGCTAAACAGAGTGTAAAAAATGTAGCCAGCAAAGCCTGCACATGTTCATATCTACCCTGCCACAACCAATGGGTCAAATCAGTTCCACATGTGAGGAACTTCTGGTTTATGTGACCAGATTTTATTCACATTTTCAGAGGAATCCTTCATCTCTGTGAGCTGCTGAGTGTTTTCTTTCTCTATTTTGGTCATTAGGTTAGGTGACACAACTGATTTAAATTGCCACTAGAACACTACTGCAGTTAAGAGAGAATTTTTTCCTCATATAGAATATATTCAACCTTCAAATTTATTGCTCTATTTATTTGTCTCTTGATTGTCAAACCACTTGATAGAGGATCCATATAAGAAGAACTCTATGAAAAATATATAGATATTATTTGGTTTACAATTTGCATGCCTGATAAACAGAGTGTGCTCAAATAATCTTCTTTATGTCTTTTCCTTTTTGAACCTGCTTGTCTGTCACAGCCAAAGTTTGGAACTACTAGTGGGTAGATACTTGAAGACTTAGTGTACAATCGACATTCAATATACACATCTGAGAGACAAAACTGAAACTCTTTTTCTATTTTAGCAAAAGATGGGATAACAATCAGAGCTGGTATTACTGGAGGGCAAAGTGTCAGGAAAGCAATCAGCAGATAAGCAGATAAAATGGTGGTGGAATGGTATCACATATCAGATGAGGCTGTGAAGTAATGATCAAACAAGGCTAGAGAAAGATGGAATGGATGTGGAGAATACTTCTGTCACTGGTTCCCTCAAACACTCCACAGTACTTGATATGAATCTGCTGAAGAAAAACAATTGGACTGTATCATAGGAAACATGACACTTGCCACAAAAAAAGCTTTAGAAGCACATTTTATGATATTGCAGAATGTATTGTCTCATTTGCCAAGATTATCTTCATTAGGTGAATGTAACGTTATTTGAACTATTTGTTGGTCTCAGAAGTTTGAGACTAACATGCATTACAGGACCCAGATGATTAGTACCAAAAAAGGATCTTAGAAAAGGCAGTCTTACAATTATTAAATAAACTAAAAAATAATTTTAAAATGCTTTAATTATTTTGAAAATTCACATTATTTTCTTAGTGAAGTATTTAATGAAACCAGATGATTTTGTGTTAACAAGAGATTGATTAATTATTTCTACAGATTTGTTTTTAACAGTTTTCTACAGTCTGCAGTATTTAGCTATTTTGGTGTGAATTTTATTTATCTTACAGGTATGCAAGTCTAGAATAATTCTGATGATTTTTTTGTCGAGTGACTGCATACAGTGGAGAGGCCTTGCCTACTCTCTTCAAAATTAAGGCAAATGGCTGAACTGCAATGAAATATTGTGTTTTCCTTTTCTTCACAGCTTTTGAATATACAATGGTTTATAACATAAGATCTCAGGTGAAACAATTCATAGGTTTTAGAAATCAGATCTATTGCACAATTATTTTCTTAGATCATGTATTTATTTAGTGTTTTGGTTGGATAGATTTTCTACAGTAGTAGTCCACATATGGAGAGTTGTATTGGAGCAGGTTTCTTTTTTTTTTTTTAATAAATGCACAGTATCATGATGAAGTGAGTACTGTATAATTCATATAAGTGCTTTAAAAAGATATAAACAAAGAAATAGTATACTGTAGTTCCTCTATAATGGAATATCTATTGGGAAAAAAATTGCTTCAGAGTTAAGTTGCAAAAGTTAGTAATCTACTCCATAATTTATACAGCTCAGAGTCTTCAAAAACTATGTGTGTTTAATCATTAAGACTATGTATTCATCATTTTCAAGGTAACTCAAAATTAACTTTTTTATAAGAAAATACTTCAAGGGATTTATAAGAAAATACTTAAAATAATATTAAAGCAATGACATTACCACTTATATCCATTAGTTTAGGGTTTAAAGCAATAATCCAGAATATGAAGAGATCTGCATATTCTGTCTAATGCATGTACTCAATACCATTATGTCCCATTCTGGGAATGGGAACTCTGTTAAGAGCTAACTTGGAATAATTAACTGTAAAGAGATATAGGATCAGGTCTAACAGAGCAGTCACATAAAATCTGGTAGAGCCTGGGTCAGATCCCATCCTCCCGTCCAGAAACAACACCTCTGAATTTGGAATCACAGGAACACAGAACCACAAGGCCTCCCAGGTTGGAAGGTAAGCCTAAAGATCATCCAGTCCAACCTTTCATGGGAAAGACAGCCTTGATGAGGTTATACAGCACAATCCAATTGTGTCTTGGAAACTTTCAGTGACAGGGACTCTACCAAGTTCCTGAAGAGGTTGTTCCAGTGAATGATTGTTTTAACTGTAAAAAAAATTATTTCATATATTGAGATGAATCCTTGATATATCTTGAGTATTGTAATCAGAAGCTGTTTCTTGTTCCAAATGGTTTCTGAGGTAAGAACATGGGTCAGAGGGAGGAGAGTCAGTTTCAGGTAAACTAAAATAAAACCATCAGAATGATGAAGGGTCTGGAGGGGAAGCTTTATGTCAGAACCATGGGTGAATGAAGTCAGATTGAATGAGTGTGTCCTACCAAACCTTTCTTTAGAAACAAGTTTGCTTAGGATGATGTTATATTCTCCTAAAACATTGTTTTCTAAATAGTTAACACTCTCAGTGGGTACACGAAATGCTCAGTTTCCAGATCTTGTTCCAAGTAATGTTTCCTGATTGAAGATATCAGTAGAAAAGATTAATGATCCCCTGGCAGGTATTGCATTTTTCTGGGAGCTGGCACTGCAACTTCAAGCTGTCAGAAGAGAGCATTCAAGTGGAGGCTTTAATACCCTGGCTAGAGATCCTGCCCAGCATTTATTAAGTGAACAAAAAGAGAAGAGACACTTTCTTCTTACCTGAAAAGATAGTTCGTGCCCTCCTATTTTTCCACTGAAAGGTTTATCTCAAGTCAAATTCTGTTCTAGGGAGGAAAGCCTATAGTATATAAGAAAAAAATATTCAATATCTGACAAACAAACTTTATGAATTTAAACTAATGTAACAGTTTGTCACATTTTGGCTTGAATTATTGCTGGCAATTGTTTATTAACTGATGGTTATTTTTAGTAGCATAAATACTTTATGTATTTATTAGAACAAAATGTGACATTTCCTGCTGTTTCTTCTTCAGCAATAACACAACAGCCTTTTGAAGGAATGACTGTAGCTTGAAAGGGTAGGGTGGAGAAGGAGCTGCTTCAGGCTTAGTGTGTTTCCTCCATACTTGGCATGTGTCTTGCAGCTCTTTTGTTGAAAAGGGGCCTGAGGAAGTTAGAGTAATCCGTGAAATACAAAATAGAGGTTTGTCTTAAAATAAGAAGTGTTACTACTCACTAAACCTGGTTTTCCTCAGAAAAATGCTGGAAGGCAGTAACAACTTATTTCATTGCTAAAGACACACTTGAAGTCTATTGTAAATATAGGAGAGTACAAATCAATGTATCTGATAATCTAGAAAAGCATCTTTGACATTTAATTTGTCATTGGTAAGAGTAGGTATTATTTATATGCAGACAGGGTAAAGTGTTCTGTAATAAATATACTGAAAATATATTCACCTTCACAGCAGTTCACAGACATAGAGAAGTAATCTGTATGGTGTACCTGGAACTGACAAGATGGGTATTTTAAAACATGAAAACAGTCATGGTAACCTCAGCCCTGTTACTGACTCTTCACTTTGATATATGAGTTAGCCAGAAGTCCTTTTTCTGGAAAAAAAATAGCTCCTATCATAATATTTGGGACATCAGTTTTATTCAGCATGATTAGATAGCTTTCCAGACTTATTTAGGACCATGTGCCTTTTTTTTTCTATTCAAAAAATCTGCACTAAAATTTTTTAATGAAAACTTCCTGTATTAGATATTCTTTCCCTGACTGTGTAAATCAGAGCACACGTTCCTTTATTTGGGGTAGTTTTTACTTAAAAAATAATACTCATGAACAGGTGACATTATAGACTAAATAATTTGTGCTGTGCTGGATGCCACACTGTTCTGTACTGAAGGTGGACTGAAGTAAGGAATTTTCGGGAATGTTCAGATTCGGAAGGCAACTTAACAATGTTCAATTTCAGATTTTCCTGTCTCAGAAATGGAAAAACAGTTGCCTTGAACAGACTGTAAGCAGGAATATCTCTCTGTTTCCAGTACTTCTCTTGTTTTGATTTTTTTACTAGAGGAATCATCTTCCCAGCATGAAGATATTATTTTGAGGCATGTCCCAAAGCCTCAGGAGTAAGGCTGGTCTTGAGGAAAGGAACGGATTTTCATCCCTCCTTGATCTCTCATCAAGGTCAATTTGCCACCAGTCTCAAGATCTACCACCACTCTTTGCTATTGAACACCCTTTGAAGGATAACTGGAGATATCTGTATGGTTTTTGCTCTCATCCTCTAGGCTGTGAAATACTGTTCAAAATCTCACTAGATTTTGAAATGGAAGGTCTAAGTACTTAGCTTCTTATGATAAAAAATTTTAATTAGCAGATCAGTATTGCTTTCAATGGGCTGTGTGCAGCTGCACCCTTAGAAGCAAGTCCTCAGCTTCTGTTGCCTGGGAAAGAAATACTTACATATTCAAAATAACAGGTATTCAAAACTTCAAATATTTATTATTTGGTTATGTCCACAGGAGTATTTTAAATAAGCTTCTCTTCCGTTGTTTCTGAATTTTATTGTAGAGAGTTGGTGCTTTCAGTGGAAAGTAAATAAAGACTGACAGCACTTCTAGTGTTCAGAAAAAAAAAACAAACAAGCTGTTCAAGGATGTGTAAAAATGCAGATTGACATAAATTGAGTCAATATTACAGAAGCCATTCATGCAAAGCAAACAATAATGTCATGATAAACAATAGAGTGAATATAGGGAAATGACTGTTTTATTGATAGTGAGTCACATCATTCTTTTTTAACTGCTTGAACATTAGTGTATATTTGATTAAACATGGGAATTTTGGACATAATTTCAAAACAAAACCACTTCCTGTAGAATAAGCAAAAAATTAAACCCAAAGAGTGTCTTCTAGACTGAACAGTTTGAAGTATGACAAAGATAAATTATCTTGATCCGTAGAGTAATAGAAATTGATTTGTAGCGTGCCAGAATGTCTGATATTTTATTCTGCTTATCAGGTAAGGAGGAAAGATACCTGGATTGAAGATGAGGGTAGGAGCTCAAATCACAAAATTTATAGCTGGTTGGACTTGAAGTATTTCTCTAGGCTTTCACCTTTTGCTCTATAAGTCTCTGCAGTCAGCAAAATGACTCTGTGCTTCTTGGCATTAAATTTCACTGTCAGTTTTATTGCCAAGTGTCTTCCATTGTACCCCTTGTGGTGCTGTGCTTGCTTTCAGTGTCTTAGCTGATCCTCCCACTTTCCACTTGTCCTCATTAAGGCTAATGCACTTATTTCACAGTTACCACTAAAAGATATGGAAGGTATGGAAAGACTTTCTAACTTAAGGATCACAGAAATTCTCTGTAAAAATTACTGTGCTCTTTTACCTTGTTTTCTAAAGATTCTGAAAACAGGTTTGAATAAACCAGTTTTAAAATGTCTCAGAAGTCTGGGTTTTGTCCTGTTCAGAGAGCTATACTTCTCAGGATTCTGCAAGCAATAAGATTTTTTTTTTCTTTGTATTTTGCATAGTTTGTTTCCACCAGTGTATTTGATACCTTCCTTAATGGTGCTTGTAGAACCCATTAACCCTTCACAATTGGTGTAGTTTGGGCTGTCAAATAACCTTTGTAATATCAACGTATTTTGTTACTTTGTAGTTCTCTCTTATTTTCCAAATCATTTCTATGTAGAACAGCACAGGCTGTTGATATTTTAATGCTATCAATATCTGATTATATTCTGCTGCAAAACCAGACCACTTTATTCCTACTATTTTGTATCTGTTAGGTTCTCTTTCAAAGCAATTCTCTTCCATCGTGTCAGCTTATCTTCCTATAAATATTTTGTAAAGTATTCCATCTTTACTCCACCACTAATCTCATCTTCTGTGATGAAATAATTGAAATAGTTTCTTATTGGTGGGAGTTTTTATTTCCTACTGGTAGTTTAAGTTTATCTTAAACTCCTGATGAACGTCCAGGTTATAAAACACATTGCTGTGATAGAGTTTAGGTTTTTATGGCTAAGCAAGTAAGATTCCTATGTTTGAAGTCAAACTATAATTAGGTAGTAAGAATGACTGCACGTGTCCAAGCACTTTCTGTGTTCTCATCACATGAAAACTCTTTAATCACAATTGACAGTTGATGAGACATTCACAATCTTTCACCACTGAAAGACCACGGAAAGACTGAGTTGCACCCTACCTAGTGTAATCTAATTACTTTATACAGATTTTGCATGAGAAAAAGCACTACAAGGCAATCACAGATGAAACCTCTATGCCTGGTTTGAAATTCCTTCCATCTGGATCTCAGCTTATATGTAATCTCAAATGTACTTCAAACAATTTAAATCCTGCCCTGTATCAGATTTCACATCTCTTTTTTAAAAAAATTAGGGGAAATGTGGAAGGGTATGGAGAATATTTTTGTTCATAGCTTAAAGATAAGAAAACTTATGTTTTCTTATAGTTGCTCTGTCCAATATCAGTGACTGGATCTATGGGAACCCAGGCTTCTAGCTCTCAGAGACAAGTTTTAGCTATTTTAAAAATACTGCTTATGTCATTTAGCAGAAAGATGCCAGATTTATATACCATCACACATTTCAAAAGTGTAATGAAGGCAGAATTGTTTCTCTCACTGATAAAATATTAATATTGAAAACTGAGGTTATCAGGAAATCATAAAAAGACAGTTCACTTGGAAAGCCATCTCAGACACATTCCACATCCCCTCTCTCTTACTGATTACATTAGTAACACATCATTCAGAGCATTAAGCATTACATTTAATAAACAGCAATGAAAATATTACTTCCTATATAGAACTGCAGAGGTAGTGGTGTAAGAAAAACATTGTTAGAAAACTTCCTGAATTTTTTGCCCTCTGCCTGCCTCAAGTGTATAAAAAACCAAGGTGTGTTTTGTTTTTTGCATCCCCAACTAAATTCTTCTCTTGTGCTGATGAGAAAGTAAAAGAAATTAATTGCTGAAAAAATCTCAGGCTACATCAATCAGCTTTTTTTTTCTGGAGGGTGTGATGGAAAATGTGTAATGTGTGTGATGGAAAAGATGGCTTATCTTTTTTTCCTCCTAGTGCTTCCAAACTCATATCTAGAGGCCTGACATCCTGTCATCCTGCCTGACAATGCAGGAAGCTCCTAAAAAGAATTAGTAACCAGAGAGGGAGCTCCTCATACCTGATTGCTATGGGTGGAAAAGACCATTCAGTACATCTCAGCCTAGGACTGTGTCAGGTCCTTTTACTAGAGTCCCTAGTTTGACATTCATTGTATTTTTGTTATTGACCAAAGTAATTTACTACAGTTTTATGGTATACTGACCTTCCAAAGGTTGTCCTGCATGCCAGTAATGCACATAACAGGAATCTGTCTTTGTGGACCTTATGAAAAATAAAGGAGGAACTCAGGCACGTACACTCTTCATGTTTAGATTAGGTAGAGGAAGTCATGGAATCGACACATAAATATCAAACCTGCTCTGAGTGGCCCAAACCATATTTTCACTGCTGCACTGAGAATTCCTGCTGAAAACATGTTTTCCTTTATTCCCTACCTCAACCACAAACCCCATATTTATGTCTGTATAGTCTAAGTACTATGAAAAGACAAAACTGCAGGGGAAACACCTGTGTATAAAAAGCATATAATTCTTAGCTGTGAAAGGTAGCAGGTGCAATTGTGTGTTTGTGTGTAAGGTTCTGGAGTGACTGGTTCCCACTGTCCCAAGCAAAAAGTTATCCTAGGACTGACAGATGTGACATAATCTGTACTGTGTTTTATTTTTC